GCCACACAGGGGTTTAGGGGTCATGTTCTGATATGATGGGCCCTGGGCCTGGCTGGGAACTATGTGAAGGCTCAACAGGCCTGGGGCCAGGTTATAGGCTGTGCAGTGACTAAATAGGTTCAAAGGCACATGTGATTTGGAGCCTCAATGTTACTGGTTTTCCTTTCACAAAGACCTTCCCTCTCCATCTCATCAGTAGCCATGCCTCCAGTGCCACGAGTAGTTTCTTGACTGATGTGGGAAGCTGCAGTGGTGCCAGCTGCAACTGCCCAAGTGACTTTGATGGGACTGAGGGCAGGGGGGGCAGTTCTAGCCCTACATACATACAAGCAGTGTACCACATGCTGTCTGCTGTCCAGATGTCGTGGTAGGCATTCCCCTGCCAGTTAATAATGAAAACCCCCTCAATTACTTCCTCCCAGGTCAGGTTATCCCTGGTGCCACAAGGAGTAAACATGATCTAATTATCCTCAGTTGGCTTAGGAAGAGGTGGAGGAACTCACCAGCAGGACAATGACCATGTGCACAACGGCCTCCAGGAGGGCCACTGGGAAGAAAGTCCTATTTACAGTCAACTGCTGTACAAGGGCCAAGTGTGCAGCCTGACCAGTCCTTAAAAACAAAGCAGCCTTCCCTTATATTTTTGAGGCTCAATATTCATTGGTGGACGTACTTATTGCAGGCCTCAATGCTCATATTGTTGAAGACATAGCTCTCCACCCCACAGCACTTTTAACCCATTGCTGTTGGTAATGAGCCGAAAGGGTGATTAGACTATTGAAGCAGAAGGGGTAGCAGACCAGCTACACCCACAATAAATGTAGCTTGGCTCACCAGCAGCCAACGTTGTTTTAGGTTCTCCATGGATCCTAGAGCCACACTTTGTTGTTTATTAGGTATTTCACAATGAGAGGCATCTGGAATGAACCGGGGAGTTACAGAGATTTTGCAGAAACTGTTGGATGGCATAGATTGGCAGATGAATAGTGATGTTTACAGGACATTTAAGAAGGATAGGATACCAGAAAAAGATGAGGGGGTTGCACTCTTTATTCATGAAGACATCAGCACAACAGAGAGCGTGACCAAAGATATAGAAGTGATATAGATAAAGATGAGCATGATAAAGGCAAGAGATCACCTGTTTCTAGGTGTTTTCTTGCTCCCCTAACAAGAACCATGCTGTAGGACAGAATATAAAGGAATAAATGATAGGAACTTGTCAGAACAGTACAATGATAATCACAGGGAATTTTAATCTGCATACACACTGAGAAAGTCAAATGGCCAAAAATAGCCTGGACAAATGTTATCCGGTCATTTTCTGAGAACAGCATATTCTGGAGCCAACCAGGGATCAGGCTACACTAGATAGGATTAATAAATGATATCATGGTGAAGGCATTCCTAGATAGAAGTGACCATAATGTGATTAAATTTTACATTCACTTTAATGAAGAGAAGATTAGGTCTAAAACCAGTATTTTAAGCTTAATCAAGAGCATGGAAGCAGAAAAGCTAAAATGACAAAAACAAACACAAAAATTGCTGGAAAAGCTCAGCAGGTCTGGCAGCATCTGTGAAGGGAAATCAGATTTAACATTTCAGGTCCAGTGACCCTTCCTCAATTGCAATTCTGAGGAAGGGTCACTGAACTCAAAATGTTAACTCTGATTTCTTATCACAGTTGTTGCCAGACCTGCTGAGCTTTTCCAGCAATTTCTGTGTTTGTTTCTGATTTACAGCATCTGCAGTTCTTTCAGTTTTTCTAAAGTGACAAAGTTGGTTTTGTCATATGTTATTAGAGATGAAGTGGCAGGCATTTCATAGGACATTTCAGGATACATAGAATAGATACATTCTAAAAGGAAAGAAAAAAAAATTCATGGAGACAGCACACCATCCGTGGTTAACTACAAGAGTTTTGTCAAAATGAAACAAAAAGCATATGATTATACAATTCTGGGTGGCAGGTCAGAAAATTGGAAAGAATGTTAAAGACAGCAAAGAATTATTAGAAGGTTCATAATGGTGGCAAAATTAGTGTATGAGGCAAAGCTAGTTAGAAACATAAATATGAAATTATGTCTTTCTGTAGATTTTTTAAAATTCTAATCACCAGGGTAAAAACTACTGAGCAAATTATTGGAGCTGTGGACTGCCTAATTCCTAGGTCCTGATGGACTTCATCCTACAGTCTTAAAGGAACTGCCTTGTGCAAGAGTTCATGTGTAGGTTTTAATTTGTAAAGATTCAGAAAAGGTTCCATTAGAATGGAAAATAGCAAATATAACTCCTTTATTCAAAAATGGGGAGAGTTTGAACACAAGAAACTACAGGCCACAGGGAACATGTTGGAATCTATTATGAAAGATGTTATAACAGGGCACTTACAAAAATCCAAGGCAATCAGGCAGAGTCAACATGGTTTTGTGAAAGGGAAATCATGCTTACCCAATTTATTGTAGTTCTTTGAAAAAGTAATGACTGTGGACAAACTCAGATGTATGGATGCACGGTGGCTCAGTGGTTAGCACTGCTGCCTTGCAGTGCCAAGGACCCGGGTTTATTTCCACCCTCGGGCAACAGTCTGTGTGGAATTTGTACATTCTCCACGTGTCTGCATGGGTTGCCTCTGCGTGCTCTGGTTTCCTCCCACAGTCCAAAGAGGGGCAGGTTAGGTAAATTGGTCATGCTAAATTGCCCATAGTGTCCAGGGATAAGCCATGTGAAATGGAGGGAATGGGTCTGGGTGGAATGCTCTTCAGAGGATCACTGTGTACTCTATGGGCCGAATGGCCTGCTTTCACACTGTAGGGATTCTATACCTAGATTTCCAGAATGCATTTAAACAGGAGCCACATCAAAGATTATTGCAGAAAATAAAAGCTCAAAGGTGTAGGCGATAACATATTGGCTAGCTGGGAAACAGATATCAGTCATAAATGCGTTACAGAGATAGTAGGAACTGCTGATGCTGGAGAATCTGAGATAACAAGGTGTAGAGCTGGATGAACACAGCAGGCCAAGCAGCATCAAAGGAGCAGGAATTTTCTGAAGAAGGGTCTCGACCCGAAACGTCAGCCTTCCTGCTCCTTTGATGTTGCTTGGCCTGCTGTGTTCATCCAGCTCTACACCTTGTTATCTCAGTCATAAATGCACCATTTTTGTTGTTAAGATGTAATTAATGGTGTGAGACAGTAATTGGTGCTCAGACCTCAACTTCCACAATTTATATAAACGACTTGGATGAAAAGTGCAAGGTATAGTTGCCAAATCTGCTGGGGAAACAACATGGATAGGAAACTAAGCTGAAAAGAGGATATAAGAAAGCCTCAAAGAAATAGAAATAGATTGAATGACTGGGTAAAGATCTGACAAGTGGAGTATAATGGGACAATGTGAAATTGTCCATTTTGGCAGGAAAATAAAACAAAGACACATGATCTAAATATTGAGATATTGCAGAGCTCTGAAATGCAAAAGAATCCAGATATCCTGGTACATGAATCACAAAAGATTAGTGTGCAGCTACAGCAAGTAAATAGGAAAGCTATTAGGATGTCTTTGTCTTTTGTGAGGGGACTTGAATACATAAGTAGGGATGTTATACTTCAGTTGTACAGGGCACTGGTGAGAGTACTGGAGTACTGTGTACAGCATCAGTCTCCTTATTTCAGGAAAAATGTCAATATGCTGGAAACAGTTCAGACAAAATTTACTAGACTAATACTTGGAATGGCGAGTTTGTGTAATTAGAAAAGGTTGGAGAAGTGAGACTTCTATCTGCTGGAGTTTAGAAGAGTAAAGGCAAGGAGTTTAGAAGAGTAAAGGCAAATTGATTAAGTAATATAAGATCCGGAGAGGTCTTGACAGGGTAGATGGAGAAAGGATGTTTCCTCTTGTGGAAGAATCTTGAACTAGGGGTCACTGTTTGGTAATTTGAATATTTTTTTAAGACAGAGGTAGACAGATTCTTGCTTAGCAAGGGGGTGAAGCTTTATTGGTTAAGTGGAATTGTGGAATAACCAGATCAGCCATGACCTTATTAAATGGTCAAGCATGATTGAGGAGCTATGGAGTTTCCTCCTGCTCCTAATTAATATGTTTATATCTGAGAACTGCATTTACATGTACTAACTCTGTAGAGAGGGAGCTATCAGTTATGGGAAGGGCCAATACAAAGGTTGTGTCCACCAATTGGGCCAATATCACCAAAAAACGATATTTGCACACCTTCTTCTTTCTTTGCACTTTTCCTTTATGTCACAAACTGGCAGAGAAGTGACTAATGTCATAAGTCGGCACATACTTTCTCCTTGCCTTTTTCCTTTAAGAACTGATGAGCTACAACCTTCCCAAGCTGCGGTAGAAGAACAAAGAGAGAGCAATAATGAAGAAACACAATCACTTGATTTCACACTTGCAGCTTTAGTTCAGATGCTGACACTAACTCCTTTACTAATATGGCATCCAGGACATTATTCTTTGGAAGTGTGCATACATATCACAGATGCAATTTTCTACACTTAAGGATTCTTACCAAAATTTGGCTTCTACTGTGCCAAATTTCATCCCAGTCCATACAATCTGGAGAAGTATCTATTCTCTGCTTCAAATATTTTTAAGGTGAAAGGGGAAAGATTTTAAAAAAGACATTACAATGTGTAAAAGATATTTAGACAAGTACATGAATGAGAAATGTTTGGAAGGATATGGGCTAAGCACAGGCAGGTGGGACTAGTTTAGTTAGGGATCATGGTCAGCATGGACTGTTTGGACCGAATGGTCTGTTTCTGTACTGTATGACTCTATGACTATGACTATAAATGGTTCGAAAGATTCCTATTTCTTCTATTGCTTTGCATTCAACAAATTGTGATCGTGTTGTTTGCATACCAAAGTTGTTTTTGATCTATACATAGACAAGTCATTACCATGACTCACAATTCCCTGGTAGGACAATTGGCTAACTGCACCGGTGGTCACCAGATAAATCCATTTATATTCAAATACTTTGTTAAATGTCAACCCAGTATTCAAAGGCTGTATCTCTAGTCTGCTGCTCAGTGTAGCAGTAAAGTGGCACTTGCAAACCGAATGATCGAAATAGGTACCCATAAAAGATTTTTTTGATCTTCACTGTATTATCCAAGATGACATGTGTCTGAAATTTTGTAATCCATCACCATCATCTAGGTAGCAGGTAACTAATCAGTAGTGTAGGGTTTTCCAGTAATGTTGAACGATTCAACTGGAGAGCAATATACGTGAAAATCTATTCACAACTACGTCATGAATAACTAAGCTGTACTGAATAACTCGCTTGTGCCATGTTTGGTGAACTGCACAATGGAGAAGAAGATATTTACTGCCTTGAGGATATTCACAAATGCTGAAGCAGACACATCTCAATAACCCATAGATAGCAATGAATAGTCAGGAAAATGATCTGTAAGGCCAGCCAGGAAGTGTCATCAGAACATTTTGTTACTCTGTAGCTTTGAATTTCTGAAGAAAACATATAGGGCAATGTCCAGACTCATTCAACAGCACCTATACTGCCTGGCCTGCTGTGTTCCTCCAGCTCCACATTGTGTTATCGATACTCACATTTGTTCAAAATTCAACTGATTATATCCTATCCTCCATCAAGTTTTGTTTGTCCAAGGCCTTTGTCTCAATGAACTGCACTGACTTCCAAGTCTTCAGCACCTCAAATTTAAAATTCTGTCCCTGTTTTTAAATTTGCACACATCTTGCCTCTCCCTACTTGCAAATTATTGGATTTCAAATTATCCAACTCAATTTGGAAAGATAGGATAAACTGTTGTGTAGAAGGCAAGGAATTAATCGAGGATAGTCAACATGGATTTGTTAAGGAAAGATTCTGTCTAACTTGATTGAATTTTTTGCAGAAGCAACAAGGAGGATTGGTTAGAGTAATGCAGTTGATGTTGTCTACATGGATTTTAGCAAGTCTTTTGACACAGTCTCACTTGACAAACTGGTTAAAAAATAAACACTTACAGGATCAGGAGAATGTGATGGAAACAAAAACAGAAATTGCGAGAGAAACTCAGCAGATCTGGCAGCATCTGTGGAGATAAAGTAGTGTTAACGTTTCAGGTCCAGTGACCCCTCTTAGGAAAGTAGCAGGCTTTTAAGGTGAAAGGGGAAAGATTTTAAAAAAGACATTACAATGTGTAAAAGATATTTAGACAAGTACATGAATGAGAAATGTTTGGAAGGATATGGGCGAAGCACAGGCAGGTGGGACTAGTTTAGTTAGGGATTACGGTCAGCATGGACTGTTTGGACCGAAATAAATTGACACGAAATAAAGAGTAAATGTTGACATGCGTTTTTGCAACTGGATTGTTTCCAATAGCGTCCACACAATTCAGCATTAGGCCCCCTATGTTTTGTGGTATATATTAACAATTTGGATGTAAGTATAGGGGCATGATCAATCAGTTTGCTGACAACACAAAAATAGGTAGTGTCATTGAAAGCAAGGAAGGCAAGCTGTGGATTGCAGAAAGATTTCAATGGACCTGACAGGTAGGTAGAAAAGTGACAAATGGAATTCAGCTTGGAGAAGCATGAGGTGGTGCATTTGGCAAAGGAATACACAGTTAATGGAAGAATAATATGAAGTGTAGAGATAGAGAGCAAACTTGGAGTAATGTATACAAATCGCTGAAGGTGGGAGGATGGGTCGAAAAGGTGCTTGAGAAAAATTATAGAATCATTTCCTTCAGTAACTGACAATACAATATAAGAGCAGTGAGGGCATGCTTAAATGTATAAAATACTAGTTAGGCCATAATTTGAGTGCTTTGTGGAGTACTAGTTACCTCATTACAGAAAGGATGTAATTGTTCTCGGGAAGGTACAGAGGAGATTTTCAAAGATGTTGCCAGGACTGGAAAATTGCACTAATGAGGAGAGATTAGATAGGCTGGGATGGGTGAAGGAAGACTAGATTTAAATGTATAAAGTTGTTAGGGACCTGGATAAAGTGAATGGGAAAAGCTTATTCACAACAGAGAAGTCAATAAGTTTTAAATCTTTAGTAGAAAGATCAGAGGGAGATGAGGTTTGATTTTACGCAGAGAGAGTAAGGGGATTGGAAATCACTGTCTAAAAGGGCAGGAGAGACAGAAACTCTCAATTAATTTAAAAGGAGTCTAGTTAATCACTGTAAATACTACAAACCAAATGCTAGAAAGTGGGATTAGGCTGGGTGACCCATATTTTAGCTTGAGCAGACATGATGGTCTAATTGGCCTCTTTCTATGCTTTAACCCTTTTGTGCTACAGTGTAACCATTCCTGGGTCCAGAACCACTTGGAACTTAATTGTTTGTGCATTCTCCTTCACTTTGTCCCATCATTGGTAGCCACACTCCAACTGTATAGGACACATTCTCTGGGATTCCTTCCTTAAAGCACTTCACCTCTGTCATATTCTTAAAATGCACTTTTTAAAAATAAATTTTTGCTCACTATCCTAAACTGACTTTCTTTGGTTTGACATGGATTTTCTTCACCATCCTATGGAAGTCCTCGAAATGTTTGTCCACATTAAAGATGTTACACAGATGCAATTTATTGCTTTGTTTGTGTAGAAATATTATTGAGTAGATCCTTTAGTCAGATGTGAATAAGTTTTGTTCTATGATCACTGCTGATCACAAAACTGTTTTGTATCTAGCCCATTCACCTTTTTTGTTACAATAGTGGGTAGGAAATGTCCAATGACCATTCCGCATTTAATCTATTCCTGCAGAATAAAACTTATTTCTCAAATTCCTATCATTCAGTAGGTGGAGAACCAGGTGCCAAAGTACAAGCCAGTTCTATGAAAGGAATCTTTCATATTCCATGGAATAGAACAGAATACAATAGAATGCAATAGCCTTTATTGTCACATATACTCAATGAGTATAGTGAAAAGTTTATATGTCGCCAATTGTTGAGCTGACTTAGATACCAAAATACCTAGGCACAGCTTCTTTGGTTACAAGATTTGTTACAGAAATAAGATGTCCAGCATTACAGAAAAGGATTTAGTTCAGCAGGCCACGCTGGCATTTAGCTTCCAGTCCACACTGGGCCCTGGCTCCACACCACAGTGGGAGGCGGCCACTGGAGGAGGCCGGAAGGTCACCATGTCACGCTGGGAGGCCCCTATGGGAGCAGGCCACTGCGCCAGGCTAGGAGATCACGTCACCAACACCGGGAGGCTGCTACGGGAGGCCAGGTGGTTGCCATGCCATGATGGGAAGCCGCTCTGGGAGGCTGCCATGCCAATGCTGGGAGGCTGCTGTGGGAGGCCACCATAGTAGGCCACTTCGCCAGGTCAGGAGACCGCTGCATCAGGCTGGGAACCAGAAGGAGTGAGTGCTAAAAGAAAGGATGTTGGCCAATGCATTGCCAAGATGCAGCTGTGACTATATGCATATTAATTACATGGGTTTCCCATTCCCATTCCCATTCCATTGCAGTTAAAGGTTTTGGAGATCTGCTGTTAAACAGTGATAAAGAGCGATAGAATTCCTGCTGCTATCCCTACAACTGAGCCTAAGATACTGAACATAAGATACTTTCACCATGGAACTGAACTGTGTAGTGCCATTCCTAGTAGTACTTCCCAAGAGCAAGACTGTGGGTTGTTACCTTAATGGTTTCCATGGCCTTATTCACTGATTTGGGTACATCAAGCAGTACTGGCTAATATGATGCCAGGATTCCAAATTTGGACAGTGCACCTCCTGGCAGCATCTGAGTTATTCGGTCCTGAAAAAGAAATGTGAAACACAAGATCAGCCATGATGTCACGTTATTTAGAGAGACAGACACCATGATTGTGGGTAAATTAAGCATTTAGAACATTTCATATGTGAGTGTCTCAAAATATTCTGTAGTATTTTTGGAGGCGTTTTGCTGGATTTACCAGAAAATGTTTAATGAATAATTGTATAATCAAAAGTGAACGTATTTGGACTAATTCCATATTACAAAGTACATGTCGAATTAAACAAACTGGCAATATCATATGGAAACAATCAGAGAATGAATAATGGAAGATTGACATTCTTCTATAGTTTTGGTATATGAAACAGCAGCTAGTTGATGTGATACCAGGATTCCAAATTTAAACATTGTATATCCTGTCAGCATCTATGTATTAACCAGTCCTAACCCCAATTCAGTGTGGTCCCAGTCAACCTGAAAGTATGCTCAAGATACTGTGAAGTATAGAGGAACTCAAAAGTCAAAATAAAAGTGGAATGGAAAGTTGAAATTTTTGGATTTGAAATATTCATGTTCATACAATATATTTTTTTTAATACTTTTGCAGTAGGAGATATTTAAAATTATAACCTTGTGATTTACTACCTTAAGTTGGTAACTTAAAGTTCAAATTTTTTTTAGAAGTTACCAGTCTCCACTGAAATCAAACCCAAGAGGGACTTTATAAAAACTCTTTAGGTAATTCATCAATAGACAAGAAGTGGTTAAGTAATGGTGACATAATCAACGTAAAATAGCAAAAAAAAAGCCAACATTCAGGTGACACAATTAAATGCACACTCAAAGGTTTTGGAACAATATTGTTAATTATTTTTGAAGAAAATGGAAACATACATAATTACACTACTTTTCACAATCACCAGATATTTCAAAACACTTTATTGCCATTAAGTCCTTTTGAAATGTTGTCACTATGTCACCATCTAAGAAATTAGTTAGCACTGCTGCCACACAGCACCAGGGACCTGGGTGTGATTCCACCCACGGGTCACTGTTTGTGTGGGTTTGTACCAGATGCTCCAATTTCTTTCTACAGTCCAAAGACGTGCAGGTTTGGTCGATTGGCTATGTTAAATTGCCCATCGTATCTAGGGAGATGTAGTCTAGATGGATTAGCCATAGTAAATATGGGGTTACAGAGATAGGGTGGGGGGGTTGGCTGCTGCATCTGGGTGGGATGCTCTTTGGAGGATTGGTGTGGACCTGATGGGCCAAATTGCCTTTCTCTGCACTTATGGGTTCTATGAAATGCAGTCGCAAATTTTATGCACTAGAACTTGTGATTTTGAGTTCAGTTTGATTCTTCTTCAAAATCACTAGAGTTCTGAGGAAGAGTCAAAACAGACTCAAATTATTCACATTGTTTCTTTCTCTATAGGTGCTGTCAGACCTGCTGAGTTTTTCCAGCACCTACTGTTTTTATTTCAGATTTCGAGCATCGACAGTATTTTGCTTTTAGTTGAGAATAACTGCTCTGCTATTCTTCAAAATTGTGCTAGATTCATTTGATAAGATAGATTTGGCCTCCATTTAAAATGCAGCAGACCTCAGTATTGCACATGGTTTGAGAAGTCAGTCAATAAGGGTGAAATAATTACAAGTCAGGGAGAGGCTTTTATTTTGAAGTCTATGTTTGACTGAATAAAATACTAAACAATAAGCAATCCCTGGATGGGCTTTGTGATAGAGACATAGAGTTTCCACTGGCAGAGAAACTACCACATTGCCTCTATTAGGAATTACACAAAATGAAGGCTTGAATTTGGAAATAATTAGTTTACATTTCATTTTAGCCAACCCAGGTGTGCCAGGTTTCCATGAAAATAGATTTGTGGTGGCTCCTTCTTTTTCCAATTTTTGTTCAGCTCGTTGATTTCTCACAGAAACAGGCATTTGTAGTCAGACTGGGATCAGCTTTGATACAATCTTCCAGGAGGAGTAATTTAGGGTTATCAAAAACCAGTGATTTCTGATTTACGGTCATTCAGCAAGAATGCAGTGAGATCCATGTTTAAGCTGGAGACCACAATTGTGAAGTATTGAAGGAGTGATGGATTTTTTGTCTATAAGATGCTGGTCAAAGGACCCTAAGAAATCTCAGAAACCTCAGAGAATAGGTGGAAGACTAAGAATTAAAGTGAATTCCTGACAGCTGTGGCATGCCACAGGCAAGGACATTAGCATGAGATACCTTGGCTGAATTGAATTAAATAGTGTTATTCATTGCAGTGATACACGGCCTACTGTGCTTCCCTGGGACATTGTTACCTACGTGACTTCAGCGACGTTCTTTGATGATTTTGGTACATGAAAAAGCAACTGATTGATGTGATACCAGGATTCAAAATTTGGATGCTGTCAGTCCTAGCAGCATCTCTATATTATCCACTTCTAACCCAATTGCAGTGTGGTTCCAGGAGAAGTGAAGGAATGCTCAAAATACTGTGAAGAATAGGGGAAGTCAAGAGTCAAAGTAAGAGTGGATTGGGAATTGTCCTGTTGAAATTTTAATATTTGATAGAAACATGTTCACACAATACTTCCTTTATTTAATGCCTGTGCACAAGGAGATGTTTAAAATTTTGTCGGGTAGTACCTTCTGGTAATAACGTAGTTTGAATGTCTCCTTGAAAATTATTGGTCTCCACTGAGATCATTACACCATGAGAGGAACTGGAACCTCGAACCTTATGATGCAAAGGAGCCATAGAAGTAAAAATCCAGACTGTAAAAAGGTATGTGTACATAATTAATGTATATTTTGAATAAAGCTTCAGAACAGTTGTATGTTATATAACTGTCAAACAGTAAAATATCACCTATGCTACTTATGAATATATCAAAGTTCGTGAAACAAAACAAAAATATTAAATGCACTTTTTAAGTCTTTCTATGAGTTTTGTTTTTAGAAAAACTCTAAACTCTTCCTATAGCTTCCTCAGTTCCGTTACATCCTGCTTGTAAATTGAATGCAATATCGCACAGTTAAAGAAAATAGAGGAGACTGAAGTAAGTAATACTTTGATCGTCTATTCCTCTACTTGTCGTTTCCTTCTAAAGATGACTTACAAATGTACCTGAAAACAAAATGTTCTGATGACGCACACCTTAGAAAAGTCATGCTGGAAAGGATCTGATGTCACCCATGTGACATGTAAACTGAAATTATTTCTAGGTTAACCCTATTCGTACTAAACATAGCAATGGCTGGTAAAGCGAAACATAATCACAGCTTGATTTAACCAAACTATACTTAGCTTTCTCTTTATTGACACTATATTTAGTACTTAGGCAAGTCCGTTACGAAAGACCAAGAGCGGAAAGTACAGTACTGCACTAATACTTACATTAACTCAGCGTTTATAATGGCTTATTTTTCTTAACTCAGCGTTTGTAAGCTGTGTGACTCAGTGCGCAACAATAAACTGGAATTAATTCCTCGGGGTTGAGAAGTGAAGGTTGTGGGCGCAGGACTCTAATTTCGTTTCTGAAATCGATCTGTCCGGCTTTCTTTTTCAATAATATGTTTTCGGAAACGTAAATATTTCACTAATTAGGTAATTCAGAACAAAAAAAAACACAATTACTTCGGCAGAATGATCAATGTTTGGAAAAAAAAACTTCAGTCCGAAGGCCAAGTTTTAATGAAGTATCCAGGTCGAGTTTAGGTTAATTTTGTCCCTTTTGGTGTTTTGTGTGAAAAGATTATCAAGTAAAACACATCCAAAAGGGGAAAACACTAACAGCGTGAATTGAAGCTAGCAGGGCTGAATCTTTTTGTTTTCACATTTACGATTAGACACTGAAAAATAGCAAATGACCCGTAAATTACGAATTGCTCATAAATAGATTTGTCGTAAGACTTTGCTTGTTTTCCTCTTTGTACAGCTTACGATTTCCCACAGAGATTAGTTTTAAACTTCAAAGTGACAATAATTAGGACTTTTGCCCTGACCTTAGTAAAACCATATCAGGATTTAGGAATGTGATATACAGTACTTCAGTTCGAAAGTCTCAGAAGCAGGAGATTAAATTACTCGCCCTCCTCCACCCCGACCAGAGATATATTGTAATTGGTATCTATAATTATCCGCAAAGAATACACACAGATACACAGTTGTTAAAGATATTGCGATACAAGGGAAAATAGATCAGTTCAGTATGTTGTTCCATTGGTGTTACATAGTTATGCCTTTTTCAAAAAAATAAAATGCATTAAAAGTATTGAAATTCAAGGGCCAAAATAATTGGTAACAATATGAAACAAACGAAAGGAGAAGGGTTCATGACCAATTAATTCCCTTTTCGGGTCTTATGTATAACCCACTTGCATGACTTCATTATTTAATTGCAGCTACGGTTGTCACATAGAAATGAAGTGGCGGCCCGGAATCCGATTGCTGGTGACTGTCCACCAAGGCGTTGCAGCAAACACTATTCACCTGTCCTCCTCCGCCGCCGCAATGCCAACTCCAACATTCCTATCATTTTTGTTTAGGTTTTCAGCAACTCGCAGCATCGTCAGCTCATAGCTGGAAAGTGCCTGTATCAAACATGGCGGCTTCCCAGCCACCACCACCACCAGCAACTCCCGCCCCAACATCAGGCTGCCAGGCAAGGCGGGAGCGCGCCCTGCCTTTTCATCCCGTCCGGAGGGCAGACGGACAGTGGGAGGAAGGACGGGAGGCGCGCTTGCGCGCACTGCCCCTCAGCATGGAGTGCGCGCGGCCGGCGGCTAGGCCATGTTCCGAAGCTCCGCCTATCCTCCCGTCAGGCTGCGCTGCCCGAATTCCGATGACGTTAGGAACGTCTGTGCGGTTGTTTTTGTCATCGGCTCCGAGTAATTGCCTCGCGGCTTCCGATTCAAATCGGCCCGGTGGCCGTTAGCCTCGCGCCGGCGGAGAGGGAGAACAAGAGTGAGCACCCGCGAGAGACTCTGGAGGGAGGGAGGGAGGGAGAGAGAGAGAGAGAGAGAGAGAGAGGGAAGGAAGGAAGGGGTGGATTCGAGACCGGCGGGGGACCGGAGGGGGTGGTGCCGTTGCGCTGGACCGGGCCGGGCCGCCCTCTTAGCTTATGTCTCTGGCAAAGTTTCCCGTTTGCCTCTGTCTTCCCGAAGGCAGCTGTTGTAGGCCCAGGCTGCCGGGGCCTCAGAAGAGACGGCGATAGTGTGAAGGGGGAGGAGCAGAGAGGAGGCGTGAGCCCGGGTTCCCCGGCTCCCTTCTCACTCAGAGGGATCAATTGAATCAGAATCGGGAGAGGATCACGTTTACCCTCGACATGTCGTCGGCAGATGACCTGAAGACGCGTCTGAAAAAGCTCGAAGCCATGATCAGGGACCCGAAGTCTCCGGTAAACGCGGAATGTTTGCTGGTGAGTCCGAGAATGGGAAATGTTTTTCTTTCCTTACACAGCTTTTCCTCATGTCGCTCCCTTCCACTCACCCCCCCGCCCAACCAATTGCGGTGCAGCCAGACTGTGTCTTAGCTTCCAAACATAGGGCGTGTTTAGAGCTTAAAAAGCTGCAAGTTTAGAGCTTTTTTTGTTGTTGTGTTCGAGAACATCAAGCATGAATGTGAAATTGGATAACTTCTTGATGTTCAGTCCAGACAGATCGTCCAGAATTACGAGTAGCGTAGGATGAGTTTAAATATTGACCGTATCTTGACTTTGAATTTACGAAGCTTACCTAGCATTTGATGTTTTGCATTACATATTCAGATTGTTGATCTATTAAAGTGGCTAGGCTTTTTTTTTACTCACATTGTGGCCTGCACTGTCACCTTTTCCATATATCGTAAACGATTACCTTTTTAGCTAGCTGGTAGGAAGCTTTAGTCAGCATCTTCATTCAGTTGGCTGATATTTTTTGTTGGCTTCGTTTTATTGAATTGAAAGCTCAGAGCACTGCGATGAGATCATTTACAACAAACACAAGCATTTAATTCATATTTAGGATTTTGGTGTTTCTGACGGTGGGAAGTGTGACTGGTAAGTGACTGTGATTTCACCAGTTAAATGCTTTTGTAGTCTAGTCACTGTTGTAATGTTGGAAATGTTATGAAAATGATACAGGGTGGTAATTCTGTTGGCTGCCACTTCTATTTTAAAACACATGTATTTATGTCATTGGGAGATAAAGTAAAAGTGGGTAATTTGTAAGAATAAATTTGTGCTGATGAATTTTACATTGGAAATGACAACCACTATTTGACATTAATTGTTATTTATTTGTTTTGTGAGATGTGGGCGTTGCTGGCTGGCCAGCATTTATTGCCCATCTGCAGTTGCCCTTGAGAAGGTGGTGGTGAGCTGTCTTTTTGAACCGCTGCAGTCCACCTGCTGTGGGTTGGTCCATAATGCCGTTAGGGAGGGAATTCCAGGATTTTGATCCAACAACAGTGAAGCAACGGCAATATATTTCCAACTCAGGATGGTGAGAGGCTTGAAGGTGGTGGTGGTCTCATATATCTGCTGCCCTTGTCCTTCTAGCTGGAAGCGGCTGTGGGTTTGGAAGGTGCTGTCTGAGGATCTTTGGTGAATTCCTGCATCTTGTAGATAATGCATATTGCTGCTATTGAGTGTTGGTGGTGGAGCTTGTGGATGTAGTACCAGTTAAGCAGGCTGCTTTATCCTGGATGGTGTCAAGCTTTTTGAGTGTTGCAGCTGCATTCATCCAGGGCAAGTGAGGAATATTCCATCACACTCCTGACTTGTGCCTTGTAGCTTTGGGGAGTCAGCAGGTGAGTTACTCACCACAGTATTCCTAGCCTCTGATCTATTCTTGTAGCTACTGTGTTTATGTGGTGAGTTCAGTTGAGTTTCTAACCAATATAACTTGCAGGATGTTGATAGTGTGGGATTCAGTGATGGTAACACCATTCAATGTCAAGGGTGGTACTTAGATTGTCTCTTATTGGTGATGGTCATAGCCTGGCATTTGTGTGGTGCGACTGTTACTTGCCACTTGTCAGCCCAAGTCTGAATATTGTCCAGATCTTATTACATTTGGACATGGACTGCTTCAGTGTCTGAGGAGTTGCGAATGGTGCTGAATATTGTGCAATCATTGGCAAGCATCTCCGCTTCAAACCTTGAGATGTAATTATGTTATAAGATTCTATTTAAAGGCAATGAAATATGGACAAGTAATATAACTATAAGAACTAAGTTTATATGTTTTGATACATTACAGAAGTTTTAATCTTCCTTTACAGGACATGTGCCTTTGCATGTCTTCTGTTGTCGCAAATATTAGCTGCATTCTTGACCCATTGCCTACAATGGGAATGGAAATGCAGTAACAGTTTAGATTTCACTCCATGTTACCAAGAGCAAAACATATCATACATGTTCTTGATTTCGATTTTGATTTGATTTATTATTGTGACATGTACCAAGAAACAGTGAAAAGTAGACAAACAGGAGGCTGAAAGAACCACACAAAACCAGGCAGCATCTGGAGGAAAGGAGCAGTCAACATTTTGGGTATAACCCTTCTTTTGGACTGCTGTATTGTATTGCCTGCTAACCAGACAAATCAAGACCTACATAAGTACATCAGGGTGATAGAATAGAATGCAGAATCTAGTGTTACAGCTACAGAGAAATTGCAGAGAAAGATGGGTTCTAATTTGAGGTCTGTTCATAAGTCTGATAACAGTAGAGGAAGAAGCTGTTCCTAAATCTGTTGGTACAATTTTTCAAATTTTTGTATTTTCTACCCAATGGAGGAGGAAGAAAGAGAGTGTAACCAAGGTGGGAGATATCTTTGATTATGTTGGCTGCCTCCCTGTGGCAGTGGGAAGAGTAGACCAAGTCAATGGAAGGAAGGCTGATAATCGTGTTGGATTGGGCTGCATTCACAACTCTGATTTCTTGTGGCTGCGCAGTTGCCATACCAAGCTGTGATGGATCCAGATAGGATGCTTTCTGTGGCCCATCTGTAAAAATTGGTAAGTGTCATTGTGGACATGCCGAATTTCCTTAGCCATCTGAGGAAGTAGAGGCGTTGGTGTGCTTTCTTGACATTAGTATCATTATGGATGGACCAGGATAGATCGTTGATAATATTTATTCCTGGGAATTTGAAGCTCTTGATGACCTTCACTTCAGCACCATTGATACAGACAGGAGTGTGTCCGCCACTCTGCTTCCTGAAGTTGATGACCAGCTCCTTCATCTTGCTGACATCGAGGGAGAGATTTTTGTCTTTACATCGTACCAGTAAACTGTCTATCCCCTTCCTGTACTCTGTCTTGTTGTTTGAGATCTGACCCACTACAGTGGTGTCATCAGAATATTTTAAATGGAGTTAGAGCTGAATTTGGCCAAACAATCGTGAGTGTATGAGGTGTAAGGTAAGGGGCTGAGTACGCTGCTTTGCGGGCACCTGTGTTGAGGATTATTATGGTGGAGGTGTTATTGCCGACGCTTACTGATTGCAGTCTATGGGGTAGGAAGTTCAAGATTCAGTTGCAGAGAGGGGAGCAGAGCCCTAGGTCTCGGAGTTTGGAAATGAGTTTTGTTGGAATTATGGTATTGAAGGCGGAGCTAAGTGGGGACCTCACGTAGGTGTCCTTGTTATCTAGATGTTCCAGTAATGAGTGGGGCCAGGGAGATGGTGTCTGCTGTGGACCTATTGTGACTGTAGGCGAGTTGTAGCGGATCATGACAATTTGGGAGGTTGGAGTTGATAAGTGCTATTATTAACCTCTCGAAGCACTTCATAATGGTGGATATCAGAACCACTGGGTGGTGGTCATTAAGGCACGTTGCCTGATTTTTCTTTGGTATGGGAATCATCGTGGTCTATGTGAAGCAGGCAGGAACCTCACATTGTCTGCAAATACTATCTTCAACTGGTCCGCACAGGATCTGAGTGCATGACTGGAGACGAAACATTTCGTTTCCTCATTAAGTTGTTTCCACATGCAGACTAATACTGTCAACTTTTCAACTGTGAATCTCTAGCACGAAAAGTTTTAGTGTTGCAATTTCTTCTGACCACATAGATGTATTGAGAGTGCAAGTGTCAACTTACTAAAATTTCATTCCTTTAGCTTCCAACACGTCATAGACCTTACCTGTTGTCATGGCTTTATAAGTGCAAAAAAGTTTAAACCATTTACTTAAGTCAGACGCAGCTTCATCTTCAAAACTTGTCTCAGAGGTGGAAAAACTCTTTAATAGAAAGGTTCAAGTGAGAAGTTTTAGATTTATTATTTAAATTTGCTTATTTCAAAGAATTCCTCACATATGATTGTTTCCAAGGACTGGAAACTTGTAATACAATGCTAACTCTGAAAACTAGAAACAAAACAGTGGCTAATTTCAGCAAATGGTCCTATAGGATGATACAGATTATCTTTACCTTGTTCAAGGTAACATTTTTTTAAAATTGCATGTCAGCTTGGCACAGCTGTGTGATGGGCATATTTTGATTTTTGTTCAAACAAAGTTTCTTCTGGTTGGTCTAGCTTACTTGTACAAGTTAACTATCAAATAAGGGATTCTGAATATATTTACAGATGCCTGTGATCATCTTTTATTAAAGGAAATTCTTAAAAATAAAATTTGATCACCTATTATATGCTTCTATTTTATAAATGTAATGGCTTAAAAATTAAATATCATTATAGCTATTGTCTGAGCATTTGAGTCTTCCTTGAACAATAGTTGTACCATCTGCATTCTGACAGAGTCATTGGCTTGAATATTTTTGTTTCTCTCCATAGATGCTGCCCAAACCATCCTCTTTCAATATTTTCTGTTTTTGACTTGGTTTGCATTTTTAAAGCACTGGTTTATAATTGTCATTATACCTAATATGAAAAACGTATTGATCAAATTTTGAGCACATTTACAAAAAAAAGTCCTATTTGGAATCATAGTGACTTTTTGCTAATTTACATCGGGGTTAAAGTGCATACACTCTGGGGAAATGACAGAAGCTGATGTGTTTTCTCAATTAATTGACTTGGGGGAGAAAACTGTATAAAAAATGATTATTTCCACAAATGTGTTGTGGTTCTGCTTGTGATAACTCAGAATTTTCAGATCTAACTGTTGTCCGTGACTTGTCCTAGTTATGTATCTCTCATAAATAACATATTACATGTGGTACCAGCAAGAATGAAGTTAAGAGAAGTTAAAATGTTTCTGATGAAATTTCGTTTCATGAAATCCGGTTTCCCTCTTGTTGTTATGGGACTTAATTTGGTTTGTCATCAGATAAAAATGTGCTAATCCAAGTAGCTTGATGTGAAATTCCACTGTTGTTGCTATTCCTGAACCCTATTTCCTGAATTGACTATGTCAAAAATGAAGCTAAATCATTTTATAAATATCATGTTGAGTTCCAAAACCTTTAT